AAAAATATAAAGATGTTAATCTCACCTCTTTATGAGCAGTGAAATGATATAAGTTGCGTCATTTAAACGGAAAAATATTTTCCCTTTCTTTTATCCGTAGATGTATCGGTCGACTCGAATCAATAACATTTCAGTTTCTTTGATCTTCATCTCTAAACGAAAGAAACGAATTTAATTAAGAGTTTTGATTATTTATGAATTAAAGAGTTTCCATCTCACCAAATGGTGGCAGCTCAGTTGGCGCATGGGAGCTAAGCAGATGGGGTGAGAGCATATGTTCGAATTCTCCCCGGTACCACCTTTGGGAGGGGTTTAAAGCCTTAATCCTGGACCCGACCCGAATCGGATTAGTTGCGAAGCAATTAACCGATTGAAATATTTTCAAAAAAAAAAAAAGAGTTTCCATTTCAATTCTTAGCAACTACATCATTTCTATTTCTATTTTTTTAAGTCATTGACTTGAATTAAAGCTAAAGGATTTAAGAAGGAGTGGGGCGTGGAGCAAGGATAAGAGAGATAAACAAAAATAATACTCTAATCAAGATTTTTTTTTTTTAAAAAAAAAAACTTTAGGAGAAAGAAAATTAGAAAGAGGAATATATATATCGATTGACTCAGTAATATTATTTTTATATATTATGTATAATTAATTAATTCAAATGCACTGGAATAAAATAAAGTCAAGGAAATGATTAATGTACGAGAGGGGAAGCCATGGAATTCATAAAAGGAGCTTTCAAACAAGAGCAATGAAATTATCATAATATTAAAATAAAAGCGCCTATAACGTACAACACAAACTTCCAAATAGGTCTCTGGAGTAGCTGGACAGGGGAAACATTACAAAGGATACAAGAATCAGAAGAGTAAGTTAAAAAACAAAGTCCAGATTGATGGATATTTCCATTATATTCATTTTTTCATGGCTACCTAGCTAATTGCTATCGACAAAATTAAGCAAGGGATCCTTAATTAGATATGTAACCACTATATATATGATATATGGCAATGGCACATACTATAAACAATATAATACTCAGTATATATAGCCAATTCAATCAATTAGGGTTTCCATACTGAAGCCCAAACAACCGGTTCCTCCTTCCATGTCAAGTAAATTCCTGAAAGATGATCATTTCCTTGTGGCACCACAAGGGACCACCCAGGACGGTACCTTTTGAGTAATGCCTTGACATCATCCACAACATCATCACTGAACCCAATTGGGAAAAATTCCTCCTTAAGCCTCCAAGACCATTGTGTTCCTCTCTCCCTTCTCTCACAAATATCATACCCAAATTCATCATCATCATTGCAAGCCAAAACCCTAATTATGTTTCTCGAGCACTCCCTCTCTAGCATCAATCTTTCATTACTGATTGAGGGAAAGCTTTCCTCTTGCATCTCAAAGTAAAGGGTGTAAAACCTAAGACACTCTTCAAAGCTCTTGAAGAAGTCATTTCTTGAGCTGCAAAAATCACCTTCCTCTTCAACGACCGTCACAACTCCTACTATGCTACCCGTTATAGCTACAACTGTGAGCTTCAAGTTAGGGGTTTCATCATTTCTTGTAGCCAAGGCTTCCAACAAAGTAGGCCATTGAGTGCAAAGGGTGTTGCTTATATCAATAATATGTAGTGTTGTCTCGCCTTCGAAGGCTTCTAAAATGGCACCATTTGATGCCACGTGTCCAAAAGTTGTCCAAGGGCTTACCTCTTGAAACTTGAGTATTAACTTTCTAGCTGAATTGAAGGAGTGGTTTTTCTCAGCTACAGAGGAAAGGGTCTTGTAGCACCTTTGACCACACTCTGTGGCCTTACAAAATAGAGCTTGCAAGAAGTAGGAGGCTAATTTTTGCTCACAGTTTCCATAAGGGGATGCAAGCTCGTTTAACATCCATAGAAGATGGTGGATTTTGCCAGAGTCTTTATCAGAGATTGCTTTAGCACACTCTTTAAGAAGCTTGGAAGCCAATTTACCTTCATCACTAGTACAAGTTCCTCCCGAATCAGAAGAATGGCTTGTGGATGTGTGACTACTATTTTGGGGATGATTGATGTGGTGCATGTCTATGGTGGCTGCCTCATGATCAATGTATTGCTGGTTAGGGAAAATATTGTAGTGTGTTTTCTTTGCTATGTAAAGACTGGTGTCCATCTTTACAATAGCATAGACTATGGAATATGGACCCCAAAGCTGTGCTGTGAGAAATCCCAATCTCTTTAATTTGTGCTCAGAAATATGGCCAAATACAAAACCATGGATTGGAAATTATATAAGGGTCATTGTCACAAGTTGTCATCGATTCCTAGCTAGAATTCCAAAAACCTTGCTGGTGTATATATACATGAGATAATGTACTGTAAACTTATTTTGAGATAGAAATTAAGAATTTATTGAGAACGTGTCCTAATCACAAATTTGAAGGGCTAATTTTAAGATACATATAATATGCAGTAATGTTAGAGATTATTTATATGAGAAAAGTTATATTTACAAACTTTTTGTTTACAAACTCTTACAAACTAAACTAAGTATGACCGGTCATACTTCAATCAAGAATGTATGACCGGTCATACTTAGTGTAATTTGTAAAAAAAGTTTGTAAACAGATATTTCCCCTATTCATATATGCATAACTTTGTAGCTTTTTTTGTGTGTGGATATCCATAACTTTCTCGCTTTAGCGTGCACAAAATAGTTGACATATGTCCAATTATTATAGACGTGGGCTATCCTTATTCCTTATGCCTTCTTGGAGCATACTAAGGGGGGATCAGAAATTTGTTGCTACAAATGTATTCTGCTACTTACACTTCTTGTACATGTATTTATGATTAATTTTGTGCTTCAACTAAATGAAACTACTTATATAGTTGTGCATACCATAATAATTATCTGGACAATATAAACTATATTTTTTAGAAAATAAAAGAAATTGCTGCCTGAGAAAGGACAAAAGATAGTATAGATCCATATATGTAGTGACACTGAGTTACTGACAAAGTTTATTGCGGCTCCATTTTCCCAAGGATTTAATTATTTACTCCCTTCTCAATTTGATTTGATGCTCTGAATTGAACGCCCACTACAGCAAAAGCCAGGCGCATAAAGTACTTTGGAAGCGAAAGAACACAAATTGCCACACAAAATATATGCGGGCGTGGAATCCTCAGTCACTGAATGGCGGCAATCAGATAGTTGGAAAGGAAAAATAACAAACAACATTTTTCTTTAGGGAATGCAAACAAAAAGATGATGATAAAGGCTATAATGCAATTGATAAGTACTATACGTTTATTGCAACGTGACTTGATGTTATTAGATTTTAAAATTTGTTGACCTAATTAATTTCTACAAAAATATTAGATGAACAGTTCAAAAGTAGAATTCATGTATATGTTTTTTCGGATAAACTACAGTAGCTAATTCTGTTCAGAGTTAGTCTACGATTAAGACTTTAAACTTATTCCAAAAATAATATTGAGAAGGATTGAATATATAATCTCACACTCACCTGCTCAGCTCCCATGTACCAATTGAGTTCATTATTTGGTAATTCATGTATATGGGACCTATCATAATATAATATTGTAAACTTTGTTGTTGTATATTTGTGTTCATATATATGGTATCTTATATTTGTTGTGTCCGCACTTCTTAATTTAATATTAATGAATGTTTTTATATATATTGTTGGTTTCATACTTATTAATTACATGATACTAGCTATAAGACAATAATAATGACAGAGATGCCTGGCGATGATCTTCCTCCTGCTTTGATTGGTTTATCTTGAGGGTATATGTCACCTTGTAATGTTCAGATAAAATTATTAAATTAATTGTTTGCATGCATCCAAAATCATTTCCTATCCTACTATACTCTAAAACACCACATACGTTTTCGCTGCCTAATCTGCAAAACTATGATCCTATAACTAAATATCAAATGGCAGAAAGGAAAGAGACTTTGCTCAACACGGCTTGCTTGTTTGGGATTTTGCCTCATCCATTCCGTGTCTTAATTTTTTTACTTTGTAAAAATGGCTTTTAGGGCGATCCTTATGGTGGTCCATATTTTAGGGATGAAGTTGTGTCACAAAATTCTCCACGGATTATACTTTTTGACATGACTTTTCAATAAAACTATTTGGATAATTGACTGGAGATTTTCAAAATCAAGTTGAATTTGAGGACGTAACATTGATTATATAAATTCGACACTCATTTTTTGATATTATGAAGAAGTTTTTCTTTTTCACTTTTTACATGATACCAATTTTTTTTTTTTTTTTCTGGAGTTATCCAACCCTAATTATCTCTTTGAGACGAGTTGGCTCCCTCCGGTATCCCCACGAGCTTCGACTTCTAGTACTCAGTCTAAACAAAAATTTTAATTGAGTAACTAATTCGTAAAATTCTGCTATTACAATCTTCTAATAAAATAATATTTAGTTATCAAAATGAGAATTAAAACTTGTTCCTCAATAATTAGAATTAAAAAAGCAAAGTTAACAATAAATAAGATTTTCCTAATAAAATTTCATTATTTATCTGATAAATATTTCTTTTGAAATATTTGAGCAACAAGATTGAATGTGAATGAAGAATAGATGCTTAAAGATTATTAATTCAAGTTCGGGTCTACGGAGTGAATTCGTTTCTCCAAGTTAATTATATGCATATATATAAATTATGAATAACCGTAATGAGCATATATAATTCAGATTTTTAAAATTTTACAAATTATTTTTCAACGATTAGGGAATATTATTGGAGATCAGTGATAGACTTGCAAAGTAGCTGTATATTTAAGCATAAGCTGTAGATTATTTGAATTGAGCAGCATAAAGGAAATACTAATATAAAGTCTTATCAAAGCCTTTATTTAGTTTTTAATTTATCAAAAGAATTGCAGGGCAGTAACAAGGAAATACTAAAAAATATTAGCAAAGATTTTACTTCATCTATTCATTTTACGAAAAATTAGAGGACACTAAAAACATTTTAGAGTAGGAAACATCGACTTTGATGACACTCAAAAACATTCTAGATGTCTCCATCTACGATGCTTGTGACAGTTTAACCAAACTTTGCACACACGTTTCCTATTCACGCAAAGATACACATGAATGCATGCAAGCAGAGATGGGCAATTTAAGCTTTTGTTCACTCCCAACTTGCGTTAACGCAAACCGTTAAACCCAATGTAGTCACACGCTTTGGTTGCCTGATTTGTCGCTTAAGATTTGCCCAATATCAATGACAAAACAATAAGAAAGCATTTTTCCTTGTAATGTAAGGTTGGGTTGATTATTTTTCAGATAACCAAGCAAAAGATATAAGTGCATAGACATGTTAAATAAAAAAGCAAATAAAAAGGGACAACTTGTGGATCTTGATAAAATTTTCATAATCTTATATTATTGTTTGATGATTTTTGTACACCTGAAATTCTGAATTGTATTGCAGGGGATTGGTCGCCTTTTTTTGAACTTCATACTCAAGTGAATTTTTTTTTAAATTGTGAACAAAATTTTGGGGTAAAAACTTTGTTCTTACCACCAAAGCAAAATCTAAACACCCCTTGTCAAAACCCTTGTCAATAGATTTCTGTATGTACAAGCCTGCACCTCAATGCTATACAGGATTATTTACCTAGTCCCCGGATGCTATTTGCTAAGTTCTTCTACACTAAATAGAATATGATTTAATGATTTTGATTAGTTGTGGTCAATCTATTGAGCTACCTTCAATTCTTAAGCATTTCCTATTGAAGAACGGGGCTGCACAGAACCATCAGAAAATATTTTGATCATCTTCACGAGGAGCCTTAATTGTCCATAGCACAACCAAAAACACCATGATCACTGCAAGAATCACCACTCCTACCCATGTCGTCCGAGCAAATTTCTTTAAAGGCTTGCAGTGTTTGAAAAGGACTTGAGATAATGCATCTTTTACCAACTGGCATCCTAACAATTTTTCCACACCAGGATACACATTCAGCAGGTTCTGAATTGAACTTGTGTAAGCCTCAACTACCTTATATTCACTGCCAGTTAAGAAATCTTCATTTCCACAATTTTCCCCAGTGTCATAGAAACAAGTATAAGGCTTCAATACCTTTAGAGCAGAATCAAGGAAGTCATATATATAACCACATAAGTAGAATTCATCAGTAACTTAATAATAATTTCTTTATTTGCAGGATGTAGCATACCTCTGGGATATCTCCTATTTGAATAGTATTAGGAGGGCAGTTCTCTGGCTGATATAAAGATTCAGGTGGCGCTGAGAAAGGATTGCATACAGGAACAAGATTTGGAATCAATTTTCCTTGCAGGTTTGATATGTTTGAATTCACCTGGAGATTTATCAAAGAATACAACATGAGATATGAACAATTAAACTCCATTCTCTTTAGCAAACATTGAGAATTACTCTGCTTTGGTTTCGGCTAAATCCATTGATTTATAAAGCACAACTTATTGGAGTCCTTTACTCCTTACACTCAGTTTGATGCACAAGAGTGACAGGACAATGACCAAGGACAATGACCAAATATATATATATATTACTCTTCTATGATATATGAGCTCTATTATGTTAGATTAGAAACCAACACAATGTGAATAATATAGAAAAATAACAGAAACATTATATGACTTGAGACTTGAGAGTGTTGGGCCGTGCAAGGGGAGCTCGTGGCGGGGAGAGACAGCCAACTATGGGCAAAGTGAGCAACAGCGTTAAGTGGGCTCAGAACACCACAATAAAACCCAAAACCTTAAGCCATTAAGTGCATGGATCCTTCCACTTATATGATGCTCACTCGGTTCATTCTTAATCAATGTGGGACTTTTTCACTCAATCATTCCCACTTGTATTCCTCAACAGGGAGGCACAGTTTGGTCTTCTTTTTCTGATGATTTGGAGTGTTACAATAATACAGAAGGGGAAAAAGATTTTGGTATTATGAAAAGTTTACCAAATTGACAAGGTTGTAGATCCTTGTACCAATTTCAGTTAGGACTGGTTTTTCTGAGGCCAATTCATCACAAGGGATGATGGAGCTTAGGCTGTTGTTATAGGGATTTTCTTGAAAGCTGTATAGAGCTGTGCACGCATCCTTAGAAAAACTGCAAAATAGTATAACTCTTTTCAGTAATTAAACTCCAACTTCTCTCTTGCTAAACATATTTTTGCAGGGAAATTTTGATATTTCTTGAAAATGAACAGAACAATCTGTAAATTAGAAAGAACTTGGTTTTACTTTTCTACGAAGAAATAAACTCCAAATAGTAGCCAGCACATCACTGTCATCAACCAGCACATTATAACAAGACTGTGAAAAGAAGAGGGAAAATAACAAAAATTATGGATGAAAATGTTAGCTCCATATTGAAACCAAATACATTAGCATCTAGGTGCCAAGCTAATACAGGATAGCTTACTTACAAGTAAATTCCCCTCCGAAACCTCATTAGTCCACAAACTGTTCGACAGAAAATTCCAACATTTTATGAGAATCATGCCTATTTCATGTAGAAAATTTCCTTCAATCACAGGAATAAAGAGATTTGAGATTGTCTCAGATGTGAAGGTAGAAGTCATTGATGTTATGCACACAAATTATTGACCAATTAGACATACCTGACAAAATTGTTACTCCAAGCATGTTCAAGCTTATGATCACAATGGTTATGTCAAACCTGAAATCAAAAGCATTCCCTCATTTTCTTGTAATTCAATGTTCATTTTAAATTTTCTCAGGAAGGAAAAGTGGGACAGAAAAGTCTTACAATACTTCGAAAGCCTTGTTAATAATGCGCCTATTCTTCCTAGCCTCCTTTACGATATTATCAGCTGCAGCATTAAATTTCTCAGTTATAGAGTCAAGATTTCCAGAAGCCTCAACACCCACACCGGAATCCATCAAGTCAGCTTGGATTTTTTTTATTGCTCCTGTTGCATTGTATATGGTTTCTGATGCATCATTTGCTGTTTTGATTATAATGTTAACCGAAGTTTTTGCATGAGAATGGAATTTTGCACTACCCGCGAGAACTAACCCACTTGCAGCCCTATAAAGACAAAAATCATAAATACATCACTTCAGAAAAGTAAAAGAATTTGTAATGTGTCATTCCAAAATGATTTTCTACTATCCAATGTGTAATCAAGATCATTTCTTTTGCATTATTCTTATAACTTGCAAAACTAGTTTTCATGTGCTTTCCCATGGCAGGTAGTTCTCTTGTGACTACCATTTCTCTTTTTGACTTATATGAGAGTTAGTTCATCTCATAGGTATTTACTGATAAGTCATATATAATCCCCAAATAACCAATTCAGCAAAAAGAAAAGATAGAAAAAATGCTTATACTCAGAAGTATAATTGTTCTGCTATATATAAGGTTTGAAGACTTACATAGCCCATATCATGAGTAATATAGCCAGAGGCATTGGCAAAAGATTACAACTCTTGGTCCTTCTTTCTCCATCACTTTGGCAACAATAATTGATTGTTATAAAAAAAACTCCACACAATAATCCACTTAGAAGCCAGAGCACCCCAATTGCATATCCATATACTCCTGTGAAGACAACTGACTACAAACATTAAGGACAGGTTAAAAATATCATTGAAGTTAGGATTAAGACCTAGACAGATACGATGATGCAGAGAGGCTTACACTCCAATAATGTTTATTGCTGATGTCAAATCCTCCTCTGTATTTTTTGAAATTGTTCAAAGGATCAAATCTAATAGTATTATCCTTCTGTGTAACGTGTTTTGACACATTATCTGCATCAAATAAAATGTTCTTCAAAACTAGAATACATGGGAATGTGAACACGTCAACCCCTCTTATAGGGGATTAAGCCAGTGGTGATTGTTAGATATTATATAATATAAAAACTATTCACTGGGAGAATTGGTTGCTTGATATCATATCAGAGCTTTTATAACAAATAATTTAGAGTTAGATGTTCACATCCTATTCTTCTAATAAAAAATCTAATTTCTAGTAAATGGTCCGGTGATGAAGCTTTTATCGTAGAATGCACAGAAACTATTCATGCCTTCACCTAGTAACTTAATTTTTTGGGAAGAGTTGGTTGATCAGAGAGACAAGATTCAAAATCATGTGGAATAAGATAAACCATCTTTGACTTTTTGACCCAACCAACATATTAGATAAAAAAATACCTATTTAATTAATTTTTTAAAAATATTCCACACTAATACGGTCAATTTTTCACGTTGACCGTATAGGGCAAGTCTCGCATGTCAACCATGCCGGAGTTAGTGCCAAAGTGAAATTCTTCTGGGTTGATCTTATGGGATTTAATGTCAGCATGGAAGTCTTATGAGATATATATATTAGACTCTCATACTTTTGTAATGCGGAATTTAAAAAGAATTATAAAATCTCACACGTTAACCGTGCCAAACTTTCACGTATTGTGCTAGACTTCTACTCTGACATCAAGTCCTGCATGTTTAATGTGCAAGACTTGTCCTGTACAATCAAACGTACAAGATTGACCGTATTAATCTGGAATATCTCTCAAAGAATTAATTAAATAGATATTTTAAAAAAACTGTAATATGATTAAAAAAAGGGTTTATCATCTATCATTTAACATGACCACAAAAAATTTCCTACAGACACAACATTTTGTGGGGCCCGCGGCAAAAAAAAAAAAAAAAACTTCGGCACGCAAAACGAATCTCTATAACATAACACAATCACTTTTCCTACAACATAACTCTTATAAAACCCTTAAAAAAAACCCACAATGTATGACCGTGTGTTATTTATAGCTACCCTTTCTTAATATAAAATAATTGCTGAGAATTTAACTATGAGTGGTGAAATACTATAATATTGGTTAGAAATTCAAGGGTAACATTTGTGCATTCTTCATGTATAGTCATTCTAGTGCTAACTTTATAATTTTCTAGGTTAAATACATCAATATATACAAATCGTATAGCAATTGCAGAATATCTGGAACAAATAAATTCAGATTATGGTGACTCTTAATGAAATCAAATATTACTTGTTGCCGGTGAGACTGTTTGTGCTGCAATTTCTGGCAGAATTAATACTATAATCACAATAGTAGATGCTAGGCCACGGGTTTTGCCGGAGATAGCCATCTTTAACCTGCCAAATAACCAAGAAATTCATATATTCAGTTTAATAAATTGCATTGCTCCAGGGCTACAGGCTAATTTCAATGCATTTTGTGCTACAGACTAATTTCAATGCACTTTGTTTCCAGGTAAGAACTTTAACCATTAGTGGTTTGTCAACTGAAGATCAAATCTCAATCAACCATGAGAAAGAAGGGGCATTAATTTACATGGGTCAAAATCAAATACTGCATATACAGGGTTCTATATAAACATTGTATTAGAAAACTATGACGTGGATATATGTTGAATTAGCAATCTGCTTCGCGTGCAATGCATCATAGCTAGTAGTTTTGCAAGGTGTAATGGTTAAGACCATTTTAAAAGCTCCCTTTTAAAAAATCACAAAGAATGATTGGTCACAACGAAAGAACCTATAATTATTGTACAAGTCCTCAAAAGTACATGCAGTTTTTTTCAAAATGACTTAACCTGAAATTTTAGGAACTGAAAACTCTTCTCGAGATCTCAAAATCCTTTTAATTATTTGCAGAACATCATATATATATATCAAAACTGACATATAACTTCTCATCTCATGTCCCTCCGAAGAAAACACTGCAGCTGAACTATCACATTCTCAAACCATAACTCTTAACAGAAAACACCTTGGAACTCAGGTTATTCACAATTCACAAGCCATCTTTCTCCTGATTCTTGAAGTTTGGGTATGAACTTGATGACCCATATGGCCTCTCTTACGTGCCGCAGCGGCATATTTGCATCTCTGAAGTAACTACGTCAAAAATAAAACAACTGGTGATCAATTGTGAACATTAAAGCTATAAGTTTGCCTGAAATGCATGGTGATACAAGTTTTACCGAAAATTTTGGTTTAGTTTAACACCACCCATTTTTTTACCAAAAAAAAAAAAAACGCAAATATAACATTTTACTGAAGTCTAATAATAATTAATATATCAACTTGTTCAATTTATTTAACACAAAACATCGTGTCCAACACTCTCTTAGTTTTCACCTCCATAGAGGGATAGTTCTTGTTTTCATATTTTTAGCTTAATTCACTTTTCATCGGATAACCCAAAAAAGTTAAAATATGTGTCATATGCTTAAAATTAATACTAAATTTTATATCCTCTCGCTCTTACTCTAATTTATAAAATCAACAGATAATAAAATCATGCCTTTTTTTTTCAAGGACTATATATATATATATATATATATATATATATATATATATATATATATATATATAAAATAATTTATGCAGCCGCTGCACCTACAGCTAGCCAGGATTCGCGCGAGGATTCTAGGATACGGCACCGGATCCTTGTTTTTTTTTTTTTTTTAAAACGCCATGGGGCCCACTTTTCTGTGTCAGCTGTAGAGAGTGATATCTACGACGGCTGCAGAAATGGTAAGCCCATATATATATATATATATATATATATATATATATATATATATATATATATATATATATATATAGTGGCGGAGGCGGACTTCAATTTGAGCCTGAGCCAAAAAATTATATATGTATTTATTTTTCTTAATTTTAGTTAGTTCATATTATAATATATTTAAATTATATTAAATATAGAACACCTGAGCAAGTAGTACTAAGAAAAATTATAATTTTGTTAAATATTATTAATTTTATTAAAATTAATTAATTTATTTTATACAAGTGGAAATTAGACATATAATCTAATACAATTTACCCAAATCTTTTACCAAAAATATTTTAAGTTTTACATAGGGCCAAATTATAAATTGTATCCAGCCAAATTATAATTAATTATATAATTATATATAATAAGTACAATTTGTTAAAATTTAACCCAGGCCGGGACCACATCCACGCTATACGTGGCTCCACCAGTATATATATATGGAAAAAATATTTGTCCTTTTAAAGGATATAACTTTGTGACATTTTAGATCCTAATCGTTGATTTTCGTCAATCAACTGTTAAGATTTATTGGGTCAAATTTATAAATTAATTAGTAATAATTCACAATAAAATTCAATAAATCCTAACAATTGATTAACGGAAATCAACGGTTAGGATCTAAAGTGACAAGAAATTATATCTTTTAAAAAGATAAATATTTTCTCCAATATATATATATATATATATATATATTTATATATATATATACATATATTTGAAAAATGTGAATGTCATGTTGCATGACACATATTGTGTCATGCCATAAACACAAAAATGTGAGATTAACATGTTTATTTTTTCAATGGGACTCACATTTTTTAATTTGTGTCTATGGCATGACACAAGATGTGTCATGCAACATGACACACACACATATTTTATTACTTATTATGTCACATGACATAAAGTTATGTTATGTCATTTCAAAACTACATCGTTTTAGGAGTTTGGGGAATTAATTTAGGGTGTTTTGGCAAAATTCATATAATAATGAAATAAATAAAATAACCACACACACATACACACATATATAAAGGTTATACTTACAATCATTTTTCAACTTATTATCTTATTACCTGTTTGGTTATTGTTGGATCAATTTGAAATCAATGACAACTATTTTTTTTTCTCTTTTTCAACAATTGATTTCAAATTAATCCAACAATAACCAAACAGGTAGTTATTGTTTCCATTTTTTCGAGCCAACCCGCGAGCCAACTCTAACCCGACTCGGGTCGGGTTGAGTTTTCTGGCTCGTTTATTTTTTGAGCCAACCCGAACCCGGCTTGTTTTTTTCGAGTTGAACGTGGGTTGGGTCGGGTTGAGCCATTTTGCCAACCCTAGTTATGATGTTCATCAACCGATCCAAATCGATATAAATTGCGGTGATTGAACCAAAATATCGATAATCGAAAATTGAAAAATTGAAAATCGAAAAAAAACCGCAAAATTTAATTAGATTGGATTGGTTTTCGGTTTGGTTGGTGAAAACCGATCTAATCCAAACCGACCAATAATTTCCTAATCTTACCATCTACCAACTTGGGCCTTTCCTCAATCATAGCCCACAAACCATATAGCAAAATTCTAAACCCAAAACCAATTAACCCATCAAGTTGGAGAAAGTGGGTTGTGTTTGATCTATGTTATTATTGGGTAAGATACATCATATATTTTTATTGCATGGGTTATTATTGTACAATAACTCCTCTACAGAATGAAATTTTGCATTTCTCCATATCTCAGGCAATCACATTATAAACTTTTTGATGGAGGTGTGGTAATTCAACTTTTTGTTGTACTATATTGAAAATTAGAGTATCTTTTACTTATACTTCTAAATTGCACAATAATCATCATACAAACTTTACAAAGTCAATACATACAAAAGATAAGTTATTTGCATAATAATCATCATACAAATTTTAGACTTTTCAAAAAATCGAAAACCGATCCGATCCAAACTGAATAAAATTGGATTGGATTGGATCAGATTTAAAAAAAATCCAAACCGAATGGATAATTACATAATCAAACCAAAGGAATTGAATCAGATGATTTTTGCTTCCAAAATCGATCCAATCCAGACTGCGAATATAATAACCCTCACTAGTAATTGGGGATTTAATATTGAAGAATAATTAGAAGTAAAAGAAATAAAGTCACCTTTGGTGAAAAAGGAGTTAAAATGACAGTTAAGGGATAAAAATGCGGGTAAACAAAGTTACCCGAAAAGTGAAAGTAAAGTTAGAAATATGACTAGAAAAATATTCTAGTTCATTGGGTAAAGTTTGGTATTGAATGGAGGTGTGTAGATAGATAAGTTGTTACCCAGTTAAAGTAACTTAACCTATTTGACTCTAAAACACAGTAACCTTATTCATTTGTTCTCCGTCCCAATACGCGTCTGTCTCCTTTGTTTTTCATGCTAGGTTTCCTTTTCTTTTTTTTCTTTGATTTCTCCTTCCACACTCAACCAAATTCTTAGGTCCATTACACAAAACTCATAGGAAATCACCCAAGGAATCCATTCCACCACTCTATTTGGGATGATTTTGCTTGTGGAGAAAGTTCTTCCCTTTCCCCAATTTGAATCACTATTCATCAAAGAGGAGAAATTGGAGTTTTGATGGAGCTTTGCTTGGAGGTTGCTCTCGAGGCTTTGCATAAGTGATTAGAGGTAATAAATCTCTATTTCTATGATTTGTTTTCATGATTTAAGTTTGAAAACAATTAGAGTATGTTTTGGTGGAAAAACCATGAGTTTAAAATTTGAATTGATGATGGATTATGGATGTTTAGGAAGTTATAGTATGAATTGAGCATTGTCATGGGTCTAAAGTTGAAAAAATCCCATTGCACCTCCCTCCCTATGTCTCGGCCTTGATAGCGTGATGAGGGTGTGATGTGCAAAATTTTATTCTACGTATTGGGAAGGTTTAATATGTTGGAGTAAGTGGAAATTTGATGGATTAGTGAGAATGCTAAAGTGGGAAAAGTCCTATGTATTATGTCTCTATGTTTCGGCCATAATGTACCATAGAGGAGTTTAATGTTCAAAATTTAATTGGACATAGTGAATATATATACATGTATGTGTAAGTTGCAAATTTAGTGAAAGAAATAAATTGTAAAAAGAAAGGAATCCTTTAATGTCCCTTATAGATTTCGACCTATAGGGTAATTTAGGGAAAGATTTAGTTATATTTTATTTTAATAAAATGAATGATTTTCCAATGTATGTAATGGATGAGTTAAAGAAAGGAAATGACTTAAAAATGGTTGAAAGAAATCTCGGTTCCCTTTAGTTGTACCCACGGCCTTATGAAGAAAAATGGCATGAATTATGTACGTTTTGTGGATTATTCAGTATTTCAGTATATTGGTCCACGAAATAGTATTTCAGTATTTCAGTATTTCCAATGTTATTCAGTATTTCAGTATTTTGTGGATCATGATGTCTGATAATTTATTTTGTATATGGCATGTATACGTTTTGTACATGTCTTTCAGTATGATGCATGTACATTTGTGTATTCAGGCATGTTGATATGACGATGTAGTATTGAGTTATGTTTACGTGTTGGATTGCATGCTGTTAGATATAGTGGCACAGAGCCAAGTTATGCATGCGCCCATGGATGGGTATGATTATATTTGGATGTCTGGTACTTCTGAATTTATATGCTGTATAAACTGTCTATCAGGAACTCTTGAGAGTGAGATTGGAAAATTCCCAGTTGTCCGATTTACAGAGGTTACTCTGTCCGATTTTCGTCTCAGCCGAATAAGAATTAAATTAGAAAAAGAAAAAGTTAGCTCGTATTTTTGTAAGTTAAGTCTTCCGCTGTTTCTGTTTGTATCATATGCATGTTAATTGAACCGGCTCGAGACAAGGATGTTATAACAAACACCCTTAACAAGCATGACTTATCCTATTGCGGGAGCCACAAATACCTCAATCATTAATAGAACTCGAATCTCGTCTTAGTTATTGTTTTACTTTATCTAATTCATGCATGTTTTATTCTTCTTGGAAATAATTTATACTTTATGTGGTGATAGTGAGGAGGAATGGATCCTCTCATGTGGAAAAGTGGTCATGTGGTCATGTTATTTAATCATAATCACTCATTTAAAAATTATACACTTTTCTCTCTCTTATCTCATCACCGATGAGAGTTTGTGATCAAATAATATGAGCACATGATCGCTTTTTCACATGAGAGGATCCATTCTCGATAGTGAGGTATACATAAAATATTTTTGAATCAATGAAATGATGTATTTAACTAATTATAAAAATAATCATTCGATTATTTATTTGTAGCAAGATGAAGAGAATGATGTTCCAAACCCATTATTCTTCCTTGTATATGTTGAAACTCGACGCACTTTGAGACTTGAGAGGGAATGACTATAAACAAAAAGTATTTTCGTTTATTCATTTCTATTAATACATTCAGAATATCAAATTAAAACATATAGATAATAATAAAATGTATGATACGGCTTTCTTTTATGGGAAAAATGCGTATCATTTTAAAGGATGTAAAGTTGTGTCATTTTAAGTGAGAGAAAGAGATAGATAAAGGAGAAGAGAAAGAGATAGATAAAGGAGGAGAGAGAGTGGACAAAAAAAATATAAAGATGTGAATCTCACCTCTTTATGAGAGTGAAATGATATAAGTTGCGTCATTTAAAAGGACAAATATTTTCCCTTTCTTTTATCCGTAGATGTATCGGTCGAACTCGAATCAATAACATTTCAGTTTCTTTGATCTTCATCTCTAAACGAAAGAAACGAATTTAATTAAGAGTTTTGATTATTTATGAATTAAAGAGTTTCCATCTCACCAAATGGTGGCAGCTCAGTTGGCGCATGGGAGCTAAGCAGATGGGGTGAGAGCATATGTTCGAATTCTCCCCGGTACCACCTTTGGGAGGGGTTTAAAGCCTTAATCCTGGACCCGACCCGAATCGGATTAGTTGCGAAGCAATTAACCGATTGAAATATTTTCAAAAAAAAAAAAAGAGTTTCCATTTCAATTCTTAGCAACTACATCATTTCTATTTCTATTTTTTTAAGTCATTGACTTGAATTAAAGCTAAAGGATTTAAGAAGGAGTGGGGCGTGGAGCAAGGATAAGAGAGATAAACAAAAATAATACTCTAATCAAGATTTTTTTTTTTTAAAAAAAAAAACTTTAGGAGAAAGAAAATTAGAAAGAGGAATATATATATCGATTGACTCAGTAATATTATTTTTATATATTATGTATAATTAATTAATTCAAATGCACTGGAATAAAATAAAGTCAAGGAAATGATTAATGTACGAGAGGGGAAGCCATGGAATTCATAAAAGGAGCTTTCAAACAAGAGCAATGAAATTATCATAATATTAAAATAAAAGCGCCTATAACGTACAACACAAACTTCCAAATAGGTCTCTGGAGTAGCTGGACAGGGGAAACATTACAAAGGATACAAGAATCAGAAGAGTAAGTTAAAAAACAAAGTCCAGATTGATGGATATTTCCATTATATTCATTTTTTCATGGCTACCTAGCTAATTGCTATCGACAAAATTAAGCAAGGGATCCTTAATTAGATATGTAACCACTATATATATGATATATGGCAATGGCACATACTATAAACAATATAATACTCAGTATATATAGCCAATTCAATCAATTAGGGTTTCCATACTGAAGCCCAAACAACCGGTTCCTCCTTCCATGTCAAGTAAATTCCTGAAAGATGATCATTTCCTTGTGGCACCACAAGGGACCACCCAGGACGGTACCTTTTGAGTAATGCCTTGACATCATCCACAACATCATCACTGAACCCAATTGGGAAAAATTCCTCCTTAAGCCTCCAAGACCATTGTGTTCCTCTCTCCCTTCTCTCACAAATATCATACCCAAATTCATCATCATCATTGCAAGCCAAAACCCTAATTATGTTTCTCGAGCACTCCCTCTCTAGCATCAATCTTTCATTACTGATTGAGGGAAAGCTTTCCTCTTGCATCTCAAAGTAAAGGGTGTAAAACCTAAGACACTCTTCAAAGCTCTTGAAGAAGTCATTTCTTGAGCTGCAAAAATCACCTTCCTCTTCAACGACCGTCACAACTCGAGGATCAAGCGATTTCAACATGCGAATAAAGGCTCCCCTATCATCTTCTTCAACACTTCTCAATGCCCCAATACAATTCACGGCAATAGCCTCACCCTCTTTAACTCCTAACCCTTCTTTTGTGAGCATTCCAATATGTTCTAGCCCATTAATCATGTTAAACGCAAAGGGCACTCCCATTAACCTAGCAAACTTCTCCATTCTTCTTCCAACTTCGTTCATCACAGACCCTACTATGCTACCCGTTATAGCTACAACTGTGAGCTTCAAGTTAGGGGTTTCATCATTTCTTGTAGCCAAGGCTTCCAACAAAGTAGGCCATTGAGTGCAAAGGGTGTTGCTTATATCAATAATATGTAGTGTTGTCTCGCCTTCGAAGGCTTCTAAAATGGCACCATTTGATGCCACGTGTCCAAAAGTTGTCCAAGGGCTTACCTCTTGAAACTTGAGTATTAACTTTCTAGCTGAATTGAAGGAGTGGTTTTTCTCAGCTACAGAGGAAAGGGTCTTGTAGCACCTTTGACCACACTCTGTGGCCTTACAAAATAGAGCTTGCAAGAAGTAGGAGGCTAATTTTTGCTCACAGTTTCCATAAGGGGATGCAAGCTCGTTTAACATCCATAGAAGATGGTGGATTTTGCCAGAGTCTTTATCAGAGATTGCTTTAGCACACTCTTTAAGAAGCTTGGAAGCCAATTTACCTTCATCACTAGTACAAGTTCCTCCCGAATCAGAAGAATGGCTTGTGGATGTGTGACTACTATTTTGGGGATGATTGATGTGGTGCATGTCTATGGTGGCTGCCTCATGATCAATGTATTGCTGGTTAGGGAAAATATTGTAGTGTGTTTTCTTTGCTATGTAAAGACTGGTGTCCATCTTTACAATAGCATAGACTATGGAATATGGACCCCAAAGCTGTGCTGTGAGAAATCCCAATCTCTTTAATTTGTGCTCAGAAATATGGCCAAATACAAAACCATGGATTGGAAATTATATAAGGGTCATTGTCACAAGTTGTCATCGATTCCTAGCTAGAATTCCAAAAACCTTGCTGGTGTATATATACATGAGATAATGTACTGTAAACTTATTTTGAGATAGAAATTAAGAATTTATTGAGAACGTGTCCTAATCACAAATTTGAAGGGCTAATTTTAAGATACATATAATATGCAGTAATGTTAGAGATTATTTATATGAGAAAAGTTATATTTACAAACTTTTTGTTTACAAACTCTTACAAACTAAACTAAGTATGACCGGTCATACTTCAATCAAGAATGTATGACCGGTCATACTTAGTGTAATTTGTAAAAAAAGTTTGTAAACAGATATTTCCCCTATTCATATATGCATAACTTTGTAGCTTTTTTTGTGTGTGGATATCCATAACTTTCTCGCTTTAGCGTGCACAAAATAGTTGACATATGTCCAATTATTATAGACGTGGGCTATCCTTATTCCTTATGCCTTCTTGGAGCATACTAAGGGGGGATCAGAAATTTGTTGCTACAAATGTATTCTGCTACTTACACTTCTTGTACATGTATTTATGATTAATTTTGTGCTTCAACTAAATGAAACTACTTATATAGTTGTGCATACCATAATAATTATCTGGACAATATAAACTATATTTTTTAGAAAATAAAAGAAATTGCTGCCTGAGAAAGGACAAAAGATAGTATAGATCCATATATGTAGTGACACTGAGTTACTGACAAAGTTTATTGCGGCTCCATTTTCCCAAGGATTTAATTATTTACTCCCTTCTCAATTTGATTTGATGCTCTGAATTGAACGCCCACTACAGCAAAAGCCAGGCGCATAAAGTACTTTGGAAGCGAAAGAACACAAATTGCCACACAAAATATATGCGGGCGTGGAATCCTCAGTCACTGAATGGCGGCAATCAGATAGTTGGAAAGGAAAAATAACAAACAACATTTTTCTTTAGGGAATGCAAACAAAAAGATGATGATAAAGGCTATAATGCAATTGATAAGTACTATACGTTTATTGCAACGTGACTTGATGTTATTAGATTTTAAAATTTGTTGACCTAATTAATTTCTACAAAAATATTAGATGAACAGTTCAAAAGTAGAATTCATGTATATGTTTTTTCGGATAAACTACAGTAGCTAATTCTGTTCAGAGTTAGTCTACGATTAAGACTTTAAACTTATTCCAAAAATAATATTGAGAAGGATTGAATATATAATCTCACACTCACCTGCTCAGCTCCCATGTACCAATTGAGTTCATTATTTGGTAATTCATGTATATGGGACCTATCATAATATAATATTGTAAACTTTGTTGTTGTATATTTGTGTTCATATATATGGTATCTTATATTTGTTGTGTCCGCACTTCTTAATTTAATATTAATGAATGTTTTTATATATATTGTTGGTTTCATACTTATTAATTACATGATACTAGCTATAAGACAATAATAATGACAGAGATGCCTGGCGATGATCTTCCTCCTGCTTTGATTGGTTTATCTTGAGGGTATATGTCACCTTGTAATGTTCAGATAAAATTATTAAATTAATTGTTTGCATGCATCCAAAATCATTTCCTATCCTACTATACTCTAAAACACCACATACGTTTTCGCTGCCTAATCTGCAAAACTATGATCCTATAACTAAATATCAAATGGCAGAAAGGAAAGAGACTTTGCTCAACACGGCTTGCTTGTTTGGGATTTTGCCTCATCCATTCCGTGTCTTAATTTTTTTACTTTGTAAAAATGGCTTTTAGGGCGATCCTTATGGTGGTCCATATTTTAGGGATGAAGTTGTGTCACAAAATTCTCCACGGATTATACTTTTTGACATGACTTTTCAATAAAACTATTTGGATAATTGACTGGAGATTTTCAAAATCAAGTTGAATTTGAGGACGTAACATTGATTATATAAATTCGACACTCATTTTTTGATATTATGAAGAAGTTTTTCTTTTTCACTTTTTACATGATACCAATTTTTTTTTTTTTTTTTTCTGGAGTTATCCAACCCTAATTATCTCTTTGAGACGAGTTGGCTCCCTCCGGTATCCCCACGAGCTTCGACTTCTAGTACTCAGTCTAAACAAAAATTTTAATTGAGTAACTAATTCGTAAAATTCTGCTATTACAATCTTCTAATAAAATAATATTTAGTTATCAAAATGAGAATTAAAACTTGTTCCTCAATAATTAGAATTAAAAAAGCAAAGTTAACAATAAATAAGATTTTCCTAATAAAATTTCATTATTTATCTGATAAATATTTCTTTTGAAATATTTGAGCAACAAGATTGAATGTGAATGAAGAATAGATGCTTAAAGATTATTAATTCAAGTTCGGGTCTACGGAGTGAATTCGTTTCTCCAAGTTAATTATATGCATATATATAAATTATGAATAACCGTAATGAGCATATATAATTCAGATTTTTAAAATTTTACAAATTATTTTTCAACGATTAGGGAATATTATTGGAGATCAGTGATAGACTTGCAAAGTAGCTGTATATTTAAGCATAAGCTGTAGATTATTTGAATTGAGCAGCATAAAGGAACTTATCAAAGCCTTTATTTAGTTTTTAATTTATCAAAAGAATTGCAGGGCAGTAACAAGGAAATACTAAAAAATATTAGCAAAGATTTTACTTCATCTATTCATTTTACGAAAAATTAGAGGACACTAAAAACATTTTAGAGTAGGAAACATCGACTTTGATGACACTCAAAAACATTCTAGATGTCTCCATCTACGATGCTTGTGACAGTTTAACCAAACTTTGCACACACGTTTCCTATTCACGCAAAGATACACATGAATGCATGCAAGCAGAGATGGGCAATTTAAGCTGATGATTTTTGTACACCTGAAATTCTGAATTGTATTGCTTAATTGTCCATAGCACAACCAAAAACACCATCATCACTGCAAGAATCACCACTCCTACCCATGTCGTCCGAGCAAAATTCCTTAAAGGCTTGCAGTGTTTGAAAAGGACTTGAGATAATGCATCTTTTACCAACTGGCATCTATACTTTTTCCACACCAGGATACACATTCAGCAGGTTCTGAATCACTCTGTAAGCCTCAACTACCTCATATTCACTGCCAGTTAAAGAAATCTTCATTTCCACAATTTTCCCCAGTGTCATAGAAACAAGTATAAGGCTTCAATACCTTTAGAGCAGAATCAAGGAAGTCATATATATAACCACATAAGTAGAATTCATCAGTAACTTAATAATAATTTCTTTATTTGCAGGATGTAGCATACCTCTGGGATCTCTCCTATTTGAATAGTATTAGGAGGTCAGTTCTCTGGCTGATATAAAGATTCAGGTGGCGCTGAGAAAGGATTGCATACAGGAAACAAGATTTGGAAAATCAATTTTCCTTGCAGGTTTGATATGTTTGAATTCACCTGGAGATTATTAAATAAATACAACATGAGATATGAACAATTAAACTCCATTCTCTTTAGCAAACATTGAGAATTACTCTGCTTTGGTTTCGGCTAAATCCATTGATTTATAAAGCACAACTTATCGGAATCCTTTATCCCTCACACTCAGTTTGATGCACAAGAGTGACAGGACAGATCACGAAGGATAGCAAGACGGCTAATGGTCCAAAAAGGGGCTACCTACACATACACAT